TATAAAAAGATGCTAAGCTAATTGTTTCTAAATATAAAGATTTTAAGCTTTTCAGCCTCCTTACTCAAGCCCTCACTGCCTACTTTTCTCTGCAGTTAACTGGAATTTCCTGACTACCATTTCAGGGTTGTTATGAATCTAAACAGCAGTGGACTTTTTTGTTCATTTTCAATATTAGCTGGCTCATTTTTCCCTAAGAGGTCATATTCTCTCCACAACTACCAGTAGTTGAGACAACAGTGAGCATGCTTAAACAAAAAAGAAATTCCAAGAAGTAATAGTGACTATGCATAGGCATTGACTGAGCATTTAATTATGTGCATATAAAACCTATACTTGGACCAGGAGGCTGTTGTGCAAATAAGAGCAGGCGAACACTGCAGTTTAAAACTGAGAAGGGAGTGTTATCAGGGTTGTATTCTCTTTATATATACCTATTCAATTTGTATGCTGAACAAATTGTCTAAGAAGCTGGACTCTGCAGACGAGTGTGGCATCAAGATTAGAGGGAGACTCATCAATAACTCGTGTTATGCAGACGATACAACACTGCTTGCTGAAAGCAACTGCTGCAGATTATCAAGGAATGCTGCCATCTGTATGGACTGAAACTCAATGTCAAGAAAATAAAGATTTTTACCACTGGACCGATAGGCAACAACATCATGATGAATAGAGAAGAGATTGAAACGTCAACAGTTTCATCTTGCTTGAATCCACAATTAACACCCTTGACACCAGCAGTCAGGAGAAAAGGAAATGCACTGCACTGAGAAAATCTGCAGTTAGGGAACCCTCCAAATTATTGAGGAGTAATGATCTCAATTTGAGGAATAATGTGTGTCTGATTCAGGCCATATTCTCTCCGATCACTTGCTTTGAATTTGATAGCTGGACAATGAATAAGGATGACAGAGAAAGAATTCACGCCTTTGAGCTGTGGTGTTGGAGAAGAGCACTGAACATCTTATGGATGGCCAAGAGAACAAATAGGTACGTCTTGGAGAGGGTGCAACAGAGTGCTCTTTGGAATCAAGAATGATGAGGCTTTGCCTCACATACTTTTGGGCCTATTGCTAGGAGGGGCTATTCCGTGGAGAAGACATGATGTTGGGAAGTATGGAGGTTCAACAAAGGAGAAGTTAAATCTCAACCAACTGGATTGACATGGTGACTGCTGCAATGGGCTCTTGTTTGTCAGTAAGTATGAGGATGGCACAGGATAGAATAGGATTCAAATCTTTTGTTCATAGGGTCACTGTGACTCTAGTCATACTCGACTCGAAAGCACCTAACAACAACGATATACCATTATTAACTTAAATCTACAAATTATTTTAAGAACCATATTCCAATACTTGGTTTTCTTTCCGCTGCCCAACACATAGATCAATGGAATCGAATTGAGAATCCAGAGATCAACCCATCTATCTATGGTCAACTGATCTTTGACAAGGAGATGAAATTAGTGAAGTGGGGGAACGACAGCCTTTTTAACAAATGGTGTTGGCAAAATTGGAAAAATATCTGCAAAAGAC